GATTTTCTTAAACATCATTTGGTTTTCTCATTGCAAAACTATAATATGCTGATTATAGATTTTTTTAATTACAGAAAAATCTTTTTATAATTTTATACAAAAATTCTAGTACCTAAAGATAACTATTATTAACAATTTGAAATGGTGCCTTCCATTCCTTTTTTTTTTTTTTTTTTTTGGTCATGGTCACCAAAAGAAATGCATCAAGATTTCATGGAGATACCTAATAAGATAATAGGGAAGTTTATGGTACTGGCTGGAAGAATGACCATTTTGCTTTCAAAGTCTGGGTTTGAATTACATGTAATTTTCAAAAAATATTTAATAAGTGAATCCACTCAAAAATCTGCTAAATAAAGTCACTTGAAAGGAGAGGCCTGCTCTACTGAATGTTCCACTATTATGGGTTCTTTTCTAAGAAGTTTACTGGGGCGTGATTATTTCAACAGCGCCTACTATGATCATTTCAAAATCCTCTTACAAATGGGTGACAGTATGTAACATTTAAGACACCATTTTTTAAGTGAGAATTTACTGGACTAAAAATGTTTTACATATTTAAGTTATTTTAAGGTAAATTAAAATACTGTTATTACTATAAAGCCAAGGCTTTATGGAGAGGAAAGTTGAAGGATACAAAGAGGGGAGTTAAATTCCTGGTTCCAAAGCTGGGTTCCATACTGTTCTAGCTGCAGGTACGCAGGAAACCCTGAGCCAGCAGGGTTCAGGGCGTGGAAAGGTGGCAGCACAGAGCAGCTTCTGGAGAGCGTCCAGAACAGGAGCCGAGAGTAAAGTAACCACGTGTCCTAAGGCTTTCACTCTCAGGGCCAGCTGGGTGACAGAGTGACTGTCGCTGACGTGGAGGCCAGGAACGACGAGGATAACCAGGCATTCAGGAGCTGGGTGACCAGGAACAAGTAACCCATGAATGCTTTTAAAACAAACAGCCATCATGCTCTCTTCTTATAAACACAGCATGAGTCCCTGAATTCAAATTGGTGTACTTTAATTTTGTTGTGACAGCCAGGCTTAGCAATTAATTACTTTGACTGAGTATCTAAGGCTTAGCCATTTTAGCTCCCAAAATAAATCTTGCTATAAAATGTGGGGTTTTTTTTGTTTGTTTGTTTGTTTTTGTTTTTTTGAGTAGAGTGCCTCTTATCCCATAACATTTCTAGGAACTTCTACCAAAAAAAAAAATGAACATTATATCTTGCACTGATCTAGATTCACAATGTTTTGGGCAAAGCACCAATAAATCTAAACAAATCCCAAATAGACACAGAAATAGTAGAAATAAGTATCTAATAAGGGGAAATGCCACTTCATCTCAGAGAAGATGAATGAGGGTTTTGACAATTATCACTCAGCAAAGATTACATAGTACCTGTTTTCCACCAGATGGTCTTCTAAGTGCTGATGATTACATAGCTCTGCCCTACAGAGTGGATGATACGAACAGACAAGCGTTTGAGGGCAATGTGATAAGCGCTCGGTTAGGAATAATCACAGAAGCAAATTTTGTAATGAATATGAGACAGGTGACAGAGACAGTTGTGAAAAACAGGAATTGTTTGATGACCATACTCCACGCACAGTCTCTTGTGAGTATTTTTTACAGTCATCAGCTTTGAAATAGGAACATCAAGTGCTTTCAAGCTTCCTGCAATTCTGTGCTTTTTCGCCAAATTCTATTCCCAAGGAAACATACTATTAAAAAGATGTGCTTTATCCTAAGACCTCTGCATCAATCCAGTAACACTAAGCATTTTAAATAACTCCAAATTATGCTTTGATTTTCAAAACATTGGTTTTTTTTAAAGAGTGGATTTTCATGGGTCTAGTGGTCAATTCTGAACTCAGAATGATTTCACGACCCTACATTTCCCCTTCCAGCTTTCCCTCTCCCTCTCCTCTCTCACTTTTCCTCCCTGCATCTCCCTTCTCCCCCATCTCCATTATTTGCCTCTATTCTAGAAAGACTATTAAAAGCCCCAGAGGCCCAGAAAAGTCTCGCTGCCCACTTCTGAAGGTAAAGCTAAATTACTGCACCCTCAGGAAATCTCATACTAAGCTTATAAGATCTTATAAGATCGTGCTTCATTCTTCCCTGTGGCTGAAGTTATTGCCAAGATAATGTATTTATAAAACTTTTTAAGTAACACACCACTGCCAAAAATAGTGTTATAGTATTATCGTATGTCCAAAAGCTGATTTTAATCATCACTTTAATCTTCAAAAGATAACTTATTCCATAGAGAAGACTGGGATTTTCTTCAAAGTCAGAAAAAAAATAAGCTTTTTGGTGAACTGAAATGGGTAAGATTAAAGAAAAAATTCTGCTATGGGAGTTTTAGAAAGTTATATAAAAATACCAAACACTCAAAGAAGGAAAAATAAAGTTTGAAACATAAGAAGTCTAGCTGTCTTAAGATCCTATAGGGAACATTAAAGAATTAATACTTTGAAATTACTTAGTTCTTAAAAAAAGCAGCATATTTTCTTAATGTTATTATATCATAAGATAAAACAAAATCCTAAGGACTAAACCATGTTCGTTGATCTGAAAAACTGGTAAAATAATATGAAAACAGTAAGTATTGTTTATTACACGTATTATTTCTAAGCATAGCAACCACACACAAAAATTTGCTACCTTTTGGCAAACTTCAAATACAAAAATTTCCGGGAACAGCACCACAGACTGGTAACGTGTAAAGCAACCCTTGATTCCTGCATTCTTTCCTCGTGATGTGACGCTTCTCACTAACCCAAAACAAAAACTGACACGCAAGAAGAGAGCTTGTTGTGCAGTAGAAAAGTCATACCACTGCACGGTCCCACTTCGTTTTACTACAAAATAGACACTACACACTCTTCTACAGCAATTCCTTTTGTTATTCATTTGCATGCCCTGTTATCTTCAAAATGCTGGGGTTTCCCAATCAGGAATAAAAATTAACAAAGTTGTTCATATTTCATAAAGGGATACCACAGTCATTCTGTTTCCTGGGATCTGTGAGTGCTTTCAGTCATGGCTGCGAAATGACCTCCTTCACACAGCATGTGCCTCCCTATCAGGAAAAAAAAAAAAGATTTTCTGTAAGAAGTTTACAACTAGAGGTCTCCTGGCTCCAGTCAGGTGAGGTGTGTGAAAGGATGACGTTAGGAAAGGAAGTACTGCAACAGATGTGCTGCTATCAAGACCGTTCAGTCTTGCTGGCGAGAAGTAATTGATTTTGCCCTTTTCACTTTTTAAGGGGTCGAGCTAAAGTCTCCCCTCTCTGAGAGTAGATGATGGAACAAGTGGCAAACTATGCTAATGACTCCGTGACACACGTTCGGGCTCTGGTGTTACGTAGTCTCCTGAACCTAGCAAGAATGCTCAACAAAGGGCCGCACCAGGAGAGTTTGTAAAACCTTAAACTGCTACAACAGCTGAGAGAGGAGAATAGTTCTATTGAAAGGAAATCAATGAACAAGTGTCACAACGGACAGTTGGTGTCAATTCCTAGAGGATCTGGAAGTGAGAAGTGGACTTGAGGAAACCATGTTAATAGAGCCCTTGTTTGTATGAAACAGAAAGTTCATACTTTACCAAATATCAAATATAGGAGTCATGCTTGTCACAATCCGCCTCAGTCTGTGTTTGGTAGAAAAGAATGTTTTATTGTGGACTATGTAAGCACCTTATTTTGCTGATCTCCAAAAGCATATGATCATCTGTTTTCTTGGAAACAAATTTAGATAGAAATTCTACACTCAGCCGATGTGGTAATTCTTGGAACAAAACGTACTCACCATTTGGAGAAAGAAAAGACTTTCAAGCCCGAACTGTCCTCTTTGCAACTTTCAAATAGAAGCAAAGAACAAGGGGTGGGCAGTGACAAATAGAAATTAGAGATCATTCAATGTTTATAAAGATAGATTTGTGTTAAAGAATTCAAAGAAATTAGGGAAGAAACTAGAAAACATCAAGGAATAGCATTTCTATTTGAAAACATGTAAAGAACTATTCTGAAAGGAGATGTAATACACATTTGCTGTTATTTAAGAATATTCAGTCCTACTATGGGGTATAAGAGGAGCAAACAAGGAGAAGAGATGAAACTAAATATAAAGGCAAATGGCTTGGAAAACACGTTAGAGACAGACAAAGTCATTACGGCCTCTGCTTGTCAACATAGGAAGGGGCTTGACGGCCAATGAAGCATCAAATAACCAAATACGCCTGAGACACCCAATATTCAAGAAGTCTGACACTGCCCACCCATTGGTGAAATCCAGGTTGGTCCATCCACACAAATTAAAGCCACAGATGCCCAGCAGATTGTCGGGGAGTCGTGGTTTTGACTGGGTGTATAGAGCATACTGTATTGCTCGTGTTGAACTGTGTATTGGTTCAGACACCTTCCATCTGCTGAAAATCCTTGCTCACTCTCAATTCTAGTCCTTGTAACTACTCTAAGTGGGACAGACTGATGGAGGAGGGTGAAAGACAGCACATATGTGCACTGTGTCCATCAAGACTTGGACAGTATGGTCTCTACACGCCACTTTTACCCCATCTAAAATGTGCTAAACCACTCTATCTTTCTCTTTGCTTCCTACTGTATAGTTTTAAATAAACAGACCATGGGTTTCGAGCATTTGAATTTGAGCATCAGTTTTGTGACCTCTGGGACAGGCTGCCTGTACGTGGCACTGCACATGGAAAATACCATTGCATCATTATTTCCCAATGGGACAACACAGGTCCAAATTTCAGCCAACAGCTATCAACAGTGCTCTTTTGGCCACTCTGCTAGAAAAACGGAAGTTATCCTACAGGTTGCCAGATAAACAATCAAAGGTCCTCTAAGTTAGTTTGCTCCTAGGTTTTTTTTTTTTCCACTGAAGACTACTCTTCTATTGGTCACTGTAAGGAGGCTCAGAATAAGAAATTCTTTCTGATTATGCAAATCACTGCTATAGGAGCCAGAATTTCATTTATAAGCACAGGATCTTGGGCAAGTAGATTAATTTCTCATTGCTTGGCTTTACTCCCTCTTTAAAATGGAGAGAAATCATACTTGGTAAAACATTCTGAAGATGTAATAAAATCATTTATTTAAAGCATTTCAATGCAGGGCCTGCCACTTCTCTTTTTCCAGAATTGCATAATGGTTATAACTTCACAAAATAATATATATATAACTACTTTTTATTCTGTACTCTAAAAGTACCAATTTTGGAACATTATTGTATCAAACAGCTTAAATATCATGATAATTTATACTTAAACACAAGAAAATTAAAAATAAATGATTTAATAAAGAGAGTATACTTACACGGTGAAATTATATAGCATAGCTTTTCCAATCGCAACATCTAGCCCAGATTTTGAAATCAGGGAAGATAAAACTTAACATGATAAACTGCTGTATGACTAGTGGCACTTTAAACATGTAATTCCTGAATTTAAAAAGTAATAGATTATATAAAGTTTAAGCATTTTTAACTTTTGGTATGTTTCTTTCCTTTCCTCCCTAAAAACTAGCATGTATTATCTGAAGGCAAACATGTCTAAGCTTCTGAAAAAGTGTGAAGTGTGTGTGTGTCTGATTAAACAACTTTTTTTTTCTAAGCCAGTAGAAAAACTTTATGGAATGAATGTGTTTGTACAGTGGTGACTATTTGTCACAGAAGGCTCTGACATAGGCATTAAAGCACAAACTATTTTGGACAATATGTCATAACCAGCCAGTTGGAGGCCAGTAACAAAATACTTGGCTAACCATTCTATACTAGAGACATCTGTTTAGCTTAGCAAGCTAGTAACGCCAGACCCTACTATAATTTGGATCATCTGAATATCACAATTCATTTAGTTTTTAAAAGATAAACAACACTGAAAAATCATTCCATAGATCTTAGATATTTTAAACATTAGTTTAGCAGTGTGGAAAAATGTTCTTGTGATATTTTAACTGAAAAAGGCAATACATACATGATATTGTATTATATTCTTAAAATTATGTAATACAAAATTTATATTATGTAATAATACATTATATAAAATGTTGATCATGAGGAAACAAAAAAGCAAAGTACGACTTGTTTAGGTGACACATAGATGCGTTTTCTTTCTTCAATCAAAAGTTAAATAATATCAAATTGTATTGAGTGTTGACTATGTATGAAACACTGTATATTAAGTGTCTATTAACATTCTTTTAATCATTAAAACAATCCTCTAAGGTAATATTGTCTCCATTTTATGGACAAGTTAATTGAGACTTAGAAAGTTTACATAATTTACCCCAGGTCAAATATTAGCAAGTGGCAGAGTTGAGCCTAGAACTTAGATCTAACATCAAACCCCACATTTGTAATCATTATAATTATTTTTAAAGAGAAAAGTCTATTTTATATATCCTGCACTCTGTTCATTGCCCTATTTGTGAATAGATACTTGTAAGCATCCATCCGGTTTTTCTGGGAATTAGGGCGACCAACTTGTTCTGATTTGTCCAGAAATTTCCCAGTTTTAGTGCTGAAAGTTGGACCCCCCGGGTCCTTGTCCTAAGCAAACCTTTGCCAGCTGGTGACCCACCTGGAAGGAAGGAATATTTAACCTGAAAACATTCAAATGTCTCACAAACTTTGCTCTCAAATTCATAAGTCTGAATGAAAATAGGGAGAACGCAGAATTCTAAAAAGAACTTCATTTCTTAAGCACCAAGGAAAGAGTGTTTCTCAGATCATTTATTGTCTCTTTCCCTGGAAATTGTGCCTTCGGGATAAATGACTGACAGCCTCTTTCAGTAGCACTTTGTGTCTAGGACACAAACTAACCACAGATTTTTGTGGAAGTCATGTTCTGTTCCCAAATGGAAGGGAATGGGGGGGGGGCAGGTAGCAAAAAATAAAAATACATATTTCTTGAAAAATCTGAAGAGCAGCCTGTCTGGCTCCTCCCCTGCTTGTCTGAAACATACTTCTTCAGAGCTGTTTTAAAAAGGCAGCTGCACCGCAGTTCCTCTAGTCCAGATCCAGCCCCATTTCTCTGCACAATTTCTGACCACCACTGTCTGGAAACTGCACAGGATTCACCTTTAAAATCTTTCCTATTCCTCTGTGTGGTTTGTGCCCCTCCCCCACGTCCTCTGAAGTGACTCGAATGTTCTGTCAGTCTAAGTGCAAACTATTTTTACCACGATGTTCGGGAATCTCTGGGCACACACTGTCTGCAGATTAGGTAAATTACAGGTGCTCGGGTTCATGTTACTCATTTAGCAGCCACAAGTTTGAAGCATTAATCTGCCTCTTCTGAATTTTCCCTTTCAGTCAGCGGGCCCTTCCTTCATCCTCTATTCTTCAGGGCTGCTGCCTGGCGTTGCTAATGGGTCCCTTTTCTCCCTGCAGACTGGATTCAGTTCTGTTCACTTTTTCTCCCCTTCCCATCCCCACCCAATCCCCCATTTCCTTTTACCCCTTTTTCTCTCTTCTGTTTTTGACTGCTGAATATATATAATCATTTTCTGTCTGACCCTCAGTTCTACTTTCTCTGCTATAAATGAAACTGCTTTCTTTGAACGCAACTAGGTGACAGCATAGCCAAATTCCTTAGACAGAGCTCACCAAAATCTCTTTACCAGTTTCTGACTAACCCTCATCCATGTCTATGTCTTCCCTGAGCTTCCTCCTACTGTCACCTCCATCCCAATCCACGAGTTTGCTAAAAAGCTTCAACCCTGCTCCCTAGAAAGACCAATGCAACATCCCAGGAACTTCTGTCCCCAAACCATCCTTCCTCAACCTTCCTGTTCATGACAGACTCTTCATTGTTACACATTCATTAAAAAAACAAAGCAAAACAAAAAAAAATGACATTCTTTTCCTCCAAAGTTTCTAGCTCAGGTAGTCATTTGTGCGATTTTTCAATTAGTCTCTGTCCCTAGTATGCTGGAAATTTGTTGAGGGCATAAATATATGAAACACTATAATTGGAGTCACTACTTTTAATATTTTCACTTCCGTTACACCATTAACACAAAAGAATCCGTAAATTTATCCTAAACATCTGTCTTAAGGTATTTCAATTAATTTGGTTATTTCAATCAGAGGTCTTAAGAACTGAGTAGGAGAAGGAGGGAAATTAAAATTTGTTGGGTGCATATTCTAGAACATAGACTCAACATATATTTTTCCACTGGCATATATTTTATGCTAACAACTAGCCTATGATGTATGTATTATATATGCCATTTGACCTCTTATAAAACTGAAGCTTGGAATGTATAATTAAGAATGGCTAGAACTTAGATTGTTGCTTACTCCAAAAACTCTGTTTTTCTACCACCTACAACACCTTCCTGAAGGCTCATCGCTAAAATCTACCATTGACTGAGCTAATTGTAATTCTTTTCCTCCCACTCGTTTTCACAGAGAAGAAGAACTGGACATATTCAAGCTTTCGTGGAGATGATGGGAAGAAAATGCATCTACAAATAATTAAGCATGAAGTAAGAATAATGGGGTGGTGAACTATTTGAAAACTCTCAGTTCCATCACTAACTTAGTTTCACATTTTGTTATGAATGAACTCTAGACCCCTGATGTGATTTCTTGATACTTAATATTATTAGCCACTTATTACTTACTTTTCCATAATTGAAAAAAATATGTACTTGAACTATTTAAAGCTTGGAGGATAAACCTGTTTTGACCACTTGTCAAGATCTCCGTTTCCCAAGTTGTACTGAGAAATAATGTAATTGCAATTACAGGCATCTCGTATTTTGTAAACAGTTTGAGTTCCAAGAGCTCACTAGTTGGTTGTTTGGAATCATTGTGTATTTTCCCATTACCTAATCTAATAAAAAAATGGTTATTTCCCAAGCTGGCATTTCCTTTTTTTCTCTTCCCCTCCCTACCCTCCTCAAAAACAACAACAAAAGAGGCAAAAATCTGAACAAGGTAAATAGCAACACCGATTTTCTTGGCCTGAGTTCTGGTGAGTGTTGTGAAAAGGGGCTTTGGAACTTAATAGGAAATGACAATTCAGTGGCGATGGCTGATTCACACAGAGAAACTTGTGAAACTCCCTTGTCTGGGAGGATGCTCTCCCTCAGCATGCCAAAGCCTTTTCTACTTCTTTCTTGAATCTTCTCTGTCTACATTTTAAACTCACTGTTTCTCCAGTGACAACATTTAAACAAGGGAAAAATAAAGGGGAAAGAGTACACTTTCATAGTCCTTAGCAGGTTCATAATGTACAGACTCATATCTACCCGGTACCTCTTAAAATCAACGGTGAGTCTAAGAATGGTATCACCTTAGATGTTACTTGTCACCCACGCAACAAAATTCCTGAGAAATGGTATTCTTCTTATTTCAGTTTTTCTATATATCTAATTCCAGTAATAAAAATACCTATAGAGTATGTAACATTTTTAAAGTGATTTCACATTTTAAAAAACTTTATCATGACCTTTGAGAGTATGATGTCTCTGTCATTATACACTTTGTGGGTTAAACAACCAAGAATTTGAAAAATTAGGGTTGACTAAATTCTCACAAGCCCAAAACCTTTCACACCCCAATTCCAGTGCTTTTTCTCCAATTTTTTTAACCCTTAGTCAATTTCATTCACCCTTCTAGATTCAGACTCCATAAGCAAAGAGATTATTTTTCACTGCTTTATTCTCGGCACTGAGGACACTATCTGGCACTTAGTAGGTACCCAAAAAATGTTGAATAAATGAATTTCAGGTATTGTTTTCTTAATAATCTTGGCAATAATGCTATATATTTTTACTGATTAAAAATGATTTTTCAAACTGTCTTCACATTATAAGGTGCAGCATAGAATGTGATTAAGAGCAGAGGGTAATTTTCCATAATAGATGTTAGACTGTTCCCTGAGTTTTCAGAGCCTCCAAAACGCAGTCTTAACCACTGATATTAGCAACCAGGGAACTAGCAGAAATAGGAGAAAATGTCACAAAAGTATTGGCTGTTTATTAATCCCTGTGCCTCCTACTTTTCCAAAAACCTAAAAATGGTTCTCAAATTTGATAAGGAATTATTCAGCAGCACAATAAGCAAAACATAAAAACAGCTCAAAATGTCAAAACTTAGCATCCACCCCAAGTGTGTGGCTCAACAGAAAGAGACTATGAAGAACTAGCTTCTGGAGTAAGTGACTTGATTCAAAAATGTAAGTAGGTCCTACACTGTCTGACCATCGAGTCCTTGCATTGTCCTCAGTCTATTCATTAAAAAATGAAGTCATACTGAACACAGCCTATAATTTGCACTGCTTGGGGCAGAATGAGATCTTACGTTTCCAACTAGTTTTTCAGGCACTGACCATAAAGGCCAAGACCAAAGCTGACGGTCACACCAAAGGCAACTTATAGGTGGAAGGGGTCCTTCCAGATCTCTGGGAGGGAAAGGAGAGGAAAGGAATACCATTTTTTTTAAAGAGAAAAATACATAAATCTCTGCAACAGTTGTGCTTCATCTCCTTCGTAAGAAATAATCTTAGCCTTGACAGAACCTTCCTTATACTCTAAATAACTAATGTTCATCAAGCAGCTAATGTAAGTCTATATGCTTCACATGCATGGTATCATTTGATCAAATCCTCGCCAAAATCCTGTAAGGCAACCACTGTTATCTTGAAGAAACCAAGACCTAGTATTATTTATCACACATAAATAGAAATTAATTTAAGTGGGACTTGAACAGACTTCTTTGGACTTTAGGGGCCCTGAGCTCCATCCTCCTCTTGTACTGCCTCCCCAGCCACCATACTCGTGTGCACTGAACCACAGGCAAGCTGCCATTAAAAATGCTCTTTGTTTGTGTCTTGGTTGCTACCTTTCTCATCTGAATCCTATGAGCATACAATGGCAGAATAGAAGCCGTAACAGAGGCACTTTGGAGTGCCACGCTGAACCCTGAAATACCCAACAGCTATGGTGTGAGCCTTGTTTCCCCTAAAACTCTTTTTAAAGAGAAGTTACTCCATGTACTGCATCCCCCTTTCTCAGTCCCACCCCTTACCTTTTAGGTACTAACCGCTCCATCATGGAGGGGCACAGAATGCAGATCTTAGTTGCCACCCTCCAGAAGAAAAGAAAGCCAAGGGAGGAATCTGAGAGCCCTCCAGCCACCCCTTCCAGCTCCCAAATCGTCCTGACAGTCTTAGTAGAAGAGAGGAAAGAGATTTACCTGTTGCTATTGAGGCTGAAGCCTGAAAGTCATGTATAACCTTTGAAGGACTGTAATGGTTTTAATCACAGGAATAGCATCTTTTTGGTAGGCAGGAGAGAGAAAAGAGATGAACCACTCTGTAAATATTAACCAAGCTATTTTGGAGCAATGGCTATTGCCTTTGAAATCTTTCATCATGGGTCTATACTTAGAATTCAGATAGCCTGGGGGAGGGGAATGGGGCAGTGCTAATCCCCAGTTGTTTTGAAGTTGTCCCGTAAGCAGGTTAGCATCTGAACTGTCGCAAATTGAAGTGTTCGATGCTTTGTATAAATTACAGGATTCTCTCTGTGTGTTTTGTTTTAACCTGCTTTGCGGATAGGTTGTCACATCATTCTAGGGGTGACACTTCTCAGTTTTCTTTCAAACTAGGTATTCTAGAGAGCACTAGCTGTAATCACATTGAGAGACTGATGCTCCATGACAGCTAAAAGTTGGATTGAGTTTCAGGAGCTACTATATATAAAGCTGGGGCGACTTATGTCACCGCACTAATTAAATGCCATCTGGGTGGTTCCTCTGGGTTTTTGAGCCCATCACCCAGTTCAGACCGAGTCAGAGGCCAAGGAGGAGAACATGATGATGGACCTTTTTGAAACTGGCTCCTATTTCTTCTACTTGGACGGGGAAAATGTTACTCTGCAGCCGTTAGAAGTGGCAGAGGGCTCTCCTCTGTATCCAGGGAGTGATGGTACCCTATCCCCCTGCCAGGACCAAATGCCCCCGGAAGCTGGAAGTGACAGCAGCGGAGAGGAACACGTCCTGGCGCCCCCAGGCCTGCAGCCTCCCCACTGCCCTGGCCAATGTCTGATCTGGGCTTGCAAGACCTGCAAGAGAAAATCTGCCCCCACCGACCGGCGGAAAGCCGCCACCCTGCGCGAGAGGCGGCGGCTAAAGAAAATCAACGAGGCCTTCGAGGCCCTGAAGCGGCGGACTGTGGCCAACCCCAACCAGCGGCTGCCCAAGGTGGAGATTCTGCGGAGCGCCATCAACTACATTGAGAGGCTGCAGGACCTGCTGCACCGGCTGGATCAGCAGGACAAAATGCAGGAGCTAGGGGTGGACCCCTTCAGCTACAGACCCAAGCAAGAGAATGTAAGCCCAGATGCTGCCGCGGCCGGGGAACGCAGAAGCTGATTAGACGCCTTCCTTGGGGCCTTAACTTCCAGCTGCTCGATCTCCTTTCCCGTCCCCCTTGCTCGCCCGCCCCTCCCGCTCCCTCTCTAATGAACCCCCAGTGACCCGTAAACACGGGGTGCCTGCAACAGGCAGGAAATTCGTAACCGGCCTGAGGAAACAGGGAAGACACCCCCACAAAGGGCCCCCCACTTCACCCCCGGAACCTATGTTTCTTTCCTAATCTGCTGCCTTGGTTTTCCTCCAGCTTGAGGGTGCGGATTTCCTGCGCACCTGCAGCTCCCAGTGGCCAAGTGTTTCGGATCATTCCAGGGGGCTCGTGATAACTGCCAAGGAAGGTAAAGTGGAAGAAAGGGCAATGGGCTGAGCTGGAGAACATCCCGGGAGGGGGCTGGGGTGCTCAGTGGGGGTAGAAAGCGCCCGGAGACGAGCCAGAGCCGGGGACGCGCCCTGCGAGACGGGCGCTCCTTGCGCGCGGGGACGGGTCCTCCCGCTCTGAGTGGTCGGTCTCGCGCTGGGCGCGGAGCTGCCTGCCTCTTCCTATCTTAGAGGCTATGTTTGTATGTGTGTGTGTTTTCTGCGCTCAGGAGGGGCAAGCATCGATTCGTCGGCCTCGAGTAGCCTTCGATGCCTTTCTTCCATCGTGGACAGCATATCTTCGGAGGAACACAAACTCCCCTGCGTGGAGGAGGTGGTGGAGAAGTAACTCCGAGCCGGTGCTTGGGCCGTTCTCCGCGCTGCAGGAAGATGCCACCCTCCCTCCTTCGCCTAATCCTTTAGATTAGGTCACATTACAGTAATATGTAGGAACCCAGACCCAGGAGTTTAGGAAAGGGAAGGAGACATTCACAAAGAAACTCTTCGGAAACTGTTGTGCACGCTCAGATGAAAAAGCCTTTCGGCTTTGGGCTTTTATTTTGGGAACCGCGAGTGGCTTAAATCTAGCAGCCTTACTCTGTTTTTGTTTGGTTGGTTTTATAATATATTTACTTTTATTATGGTGATCCTTTCGTGCCATGGTCAAAAGTTCATTCCTGTCTGAAGCAAAGTGGGAACGTTGCATCCAAGTGTTAGTGGTACTGAATGTATTTTTGTAAATAATCTTAGTACTTTCATTTTTTATGTAAACCTAAGAAATATATTTTAAATGTGGAGTGACGTATTGTATATAAAAAGTGCGAGGATCCTGGTATTGTAATATTAAAAAAATAAGTTTCTATATGAATAAAATTGGTCCTAATTTGATTCAAACTGAAAAAAATATGCATGAGGGCATAAATAAAGGTGAGCCACCTTTTAATTTAGACATCACCCAAGCCCATTTATTTGAGTGTTTACTTATGGGCTGATTTAAAGGGAGGAAAATGGGTTGTTTTCCTGTGTCTGAATTAAACTGTGCACTTTTCTGTCTCATGTAGCCCTCACACTGTGGTTAGAAGTGAAGAATATCCAGAAGGAATCTGTCCTTTTCCCTTTTCTCAGCATCCCTTTATCTTTCTGTTTTAATTGTCATATACCTGGAGAGCTGGGTGAGATTTACTTTCCCAAAGTTAACAACTGACTGTCCAAGCC